TAGTTTATGATTAAGTAAATTAGAAGTATGGGTCCAATGGACCAAAGACATAAGCATTAGGGATCCAATGAATTCATGGATCAAAGTATAACCCAACAAAGGAAGTTTTAATTCCATTTAATGTGGACAAGTCCAAGTGATACAAAGAAAGCTCTATATGATAAAGTAAAGTCCAATAAGGTAAATGAAACCCAAATCAAGTTAAAGCCCAAAGTAAGGCCATGACATAATAAACCTAAAGAAGTACTATATGACTAGGAATTAAATTAGAATTCTTTCCCTACAAGCAAGAAGCCCACGGTTTTACTAGAGAAAACAAGCTCTAAGAAGTCAATTTAAAGTGTCATAAAATCATGGAAAAATAGGCACAAATTAGGTCAGGTTAATAGGTTAAAGGTCCATAATCTTAAGGAATAAATCATGGTCCAAAATTAAAGGAAATCTTTTCCTTCCAAGCATTTAAAATCCGCGGCCTAGGTGTAGGAAATGAATTTGATTTTATTTGATTTTCAAGCCATTAAATGCAAATCGAATTTCCTTAAGTCAAGCCAGTCAAATTCCTTTAAACAAGGAAGTTAGGATTATGATGATTAGTAGTCAATCACTTTCCCTAAATCAAGCAAATTGATGACAATATGTCAATCAATCAAATAATTCTGTTTCTTAAATCAAGGAAGCAACCTTTATGACGATTAGTCACACCTCATCAATCCCTTAAATCAAGGGAGCAACTTTTAATGACGATTAGTCACACATCATCAATTCCTTAAATCAAGCAATCACTAAATTTCCTTAATCAAGGAAATTGACATCATGTTCTTATCCCTAAATTAAGCAATCTAACCTATGACAACAAATCACCACCTTACTCTCATTTAATGTGATCGAAACCTACCAGCAATCAAGTAATGGCAAGGCTTCTAGGTTGCCTATTTGAACAAGCTTTAGTCTCTCCTTTTTCCCTCTATAGCCGCGGCACTACCAAAGGAAAGAACAAAGAGTTTAGTTCATTTTGTGAAGTCCATGAATGCTTCGAAATGGTGAGTGTGTTAGTGAGAAATACCTAATTGTTCCAAGATCAAATACAAGCTTGGATCTTAGTCCTTCTTCCTAATAATTCCACCAAAGAACCCTTCATCTCTAAGCAAGAAAATCCCTCTTCTCCTCTCTTTAAGCTTGCGGCCTTGTATGTTCAAGGAGGAAGGAAGTTCATTCAAGAAGATTCAAAGTAGTCAAAGGTCAAGAAGTGTTTCCTTAAGTCGTTGATCATCATCAAAGGTAAGCCTATGAACCTTCTTGGTTAGGAATGACATGTAAAAGCATGAAAGTGATATCCTAAGTATATGATCCCTAGAAGGCCGAACCATGTATGATAATTATAAGCATGAAGAGATGTTTAAATGATGATGTTAGATTAGCATGTTTAGTAGCCTAGGTTCTAAATCAATTTTGCATGATCATAACCTTAGTTGGCCGAATATATAAGATGATGTTTTGAATGATGCTCTAGGATTTAAATATGATAAATTATCAATAATGTTAGAAGCATGTTTTAGAAGTAATCCCTTAGGTATTTTAGGGCAATAAGGCCGAATGGTATGTAGCTAAAAGAGGTTTTATTTGATTAATGTTGAAAGGATCTAACCATGTTAAGTTAATAATATAATTGAAAGCATGTTTTAAAAATTATATTCCTAGATGTTTATCTATGGTGGCCGAACCTATACATGCCTAGAATGAAATCTTTAATAATTCTATTAAGTGTTATGATGACCTAATAATGTCCTAAAACCTACACAAGTGGGTAAGTAAGCAAAACAACTCCTCTAGGTAATTAAACCTGCAAAGCCGAGACCTATACATGGATAAAACACAAATGTTGAATGTTATATAAGTTACTAAAAGATGCTATGATGATGTTAGGGAGTCAAGGGAGCAAACAGGCAAGTAAAGAGATCAAAAGTTGAAAGTATACAAGTAAAGAACGACAAGTATTGTAAGTGTTTACAGTTGTTGAAGTAATCTCTCTATGTATGCCACCATTATGAAACTATGATAAGTTATGGTCTGACTGCAATCTGTTTATAGTGCTTTACATTATGTGATTATGATATTTTTGAAACTTAAAACCATGCTATTAAATGTTGGCTTGTGCACTGATACTCCAATTGCAACCTGACGAGGACTCTGGGTATCTCCGTAAGTCCGTAAAAGCCGGCAGGAATATGATGATGATGATGATGGCATGATATTTTTATATGATGATGTTAAATGTTCCATTTTGTATTGTTATTATAAACTGTTGCAGGAGTAAATGTCATAGTTGGAGAATGCTCCAGCTGTGAACCTTATGAGATTTTCCCCAAAATCTCACCCCCCTTGACCACCCAAGAAAGTTATGTGGGAAAGAAAGGGTAAGAGACTGGTACGTAAAGAAGAAGAAACTCCACCTACCTGGGAAGAGAAACTAAAGGATCTAACAGATAGAGGCCTATGGACTGAGGCTATGAAATTATTAATAGAAACTTTTCCACCTTATGATTTCGATGAAGCACTAAGTACACAATGGCTAGAGGAACCACAACCACATTATGACTGGGCTTATGATGCGGCATAAATTATGTTTTTATTTATGATTAGTTAATCTTTTTGGAATTACATTAAATAATGTTTAGTGTTATTTATTTTGTATTGACGTTTTAACGCTTTTAATTTTATATGGAATAAGTATGGTTATGTGTTTCCATTCCGCACTCTGATATTTGCATTCGTAAAGTTTAAATTTAGACTTCCGCGCGTTGAATGCATGATGAAGGTGCACCCTGTATGTATTTTCACATTTGGGGTGTTACAGTAGACGTATGTAATTCCTACATGTTTATTTTCTGGCCAGTAGGATTTTGACACACATGACATGGATATATGCTATATTGCACAGATTTTGGAACTTATACTGTTTTGCTGTTTTAGAACTTATATTGCACATGTAAGTGAGCTTGGGGTGGAGAGATCCTTGAGGACCCCTTGTCTTAGTGAGATTTCTTTTTAGAGATCTCACCCTGTGTTGGGGCACATTTCAGGTACAGGTACCTCAGGGGTTGAGACCTCTGGCGGCAGGAGGCCGGAGCTGAGTTGATATGCATGTTGTTTATACTATTATGCCTGGATGTTAACTTGCTGTATTGTTATTATATGGTTATTTGAGCTGAGACTTTGTTGGACTTTGTTGCCTTATTTGGTGAGCATGGGGGTTGTCCATGCCATATTGATTATGCTATGTTTATTTAGACTTATGTTGTATAATGAATCAGGATTTTGTCTGGTCTACGTGTTGTAGTTCCGTGACTAGATACACATCTATATGAGGTTATTCAGTTAGTTTTCTATTGCAATTTACGTACATGCATTATTTTGAAATAGGGATTCAGTAATCAACTTGGTTAACATTAATGACGCCATAATTGAAAAGAAAAAGTTAGCTTCCGCATTTAATTGAGCTGCGCTTAATACTTTAATATGATAACAATCCGGGTATACACGGGGTGTTACATTTTTATAAAGGGATCAAGGACATTTTAAAATGGGAGTGGTTAGGATGATGGGTTCCTTATGTTTTTGTTTGATACAAGTAAATAGTTGGCAGTCAAATAATTTTGCCTAATCATTCTTTTTTAATTTTTTTCTCAAATCTTCACGTGGATATTATAGAAGACACATATAATATGTAGTTGGAAAGCTCTTGACAAGCACAATAAAGCCCCAGGGTTTTATAGTATTTCGATAAAAAAAATTCACGAATTATAGCACCAAGATTTAGTTCCATTCAAGGTATTTCAAAAATTAGTTTAAAATTATTAATCGTGAGTGTTACTATCATATATGTATGACTCTAATGCCAAATATTTGGGAAAATAGAATACCTGATTGTACCCTCTTTAGTCGGAGAGAACATTGATCTAAGCATACTAGAGTTTTCCTCTCTATGACATATATCCAATACAACACATCCTTCCTGCAATGGGAGCATGACGACTAATAGGACTTAACTCTAATATATATAAGCTAAAGAGGGAACCTAACATAACCCTAGTCAACAATGTGTCTACTAGGTTCACCAATCACGAAAACCAGTCATACTCTTATGCTTATACTATGCTATCCAACTAGGCCCAGCACCAATAAATACAAAAATTTGACTCATCATATTAATTAAATTAAAATATCTATTAATCCGATTAATTAATTAATATTGCTTGCATAAAAAAAATTCTAACATTATGAACTGAGACCGTGGATGGGGTTTTTATTTTTTGGTATTAATAAGTTTGACGTCTAAATTCTTAAAGGAAGAATTTGGAGGTTTGCTCTAGATATTATAAGTAAGCTTTCTTTACTTACCATCCTAAAAGCCCAAAATTACAAGTCATCTGTATCACAAATATGTGATGAAATTACTTCTTTCCTTTATCTGTCTCATTTTTTGTCCATCTAATTGAGAAATGACTTCTTAACAAAAATAAAAATAAAAAACCAACTATTAAGAGAGAGTGTGTTTGTTACCATTTAAAAAAGAGATTTTTTTTAACTGAATTATCATTTTGTAATGGAAAAGTAATTTTAATTCCATATACATTGGGCGTTGTTAGTTAAGTTTGACTGTTTGAGAGTGGCCCAAAGCACAGACCAATTCCAGTTTGAAATGAACCCCATCTGCGTTGCCTCGGCCCATAACAAATCCATTTTTTTTTTCCGTCCATCGAAATCCAAACATATGGAGCCTCCGTTATCACTTATCACCCCCTCCCGCCAACGCCCAAAAAACACAAACTCCATTTCGCGCCCAAAACGAATCACTTTCAGTATTTCAGATTCAGATTTATTTACCTTAGCCCCCCCCCCCCCCCCCCCCCCCCCCCCCCCTATTCCCCTCAAAATCAAACCTTAGTCCTTCCTTATTATTCAACTCCAACCAAACCGAACCGGTTTCGTGAGCCGCCACCATGAAAGTCCGGTCGGTGAAGCTGAGGGATGCCCACGCCCACAAGGGTGGCCGCCCTTCCTTCTGCTCCGTCGTGTGGGACCAGCAAGCCAAACATCTGGTCACCGCCTCCTCTTCCGACGTGTCCATTTCAATCCACGACCCTCTTCTCCCCTCCGCCACTCCCAGGATCCTCCGTCACCACCGCGACGGTGTCACCGCCTTGGCTCTTAGCCCCAATTCTACTTGCCTTGCTTCCGGATCCGTCGATCACTCCGTCAAACTCTATAAGTTCCCTGGTATTCTATTCTTTCTTTCTTTCTTTTTTCCTTTATCTTTTGAGATTTACGAGATTTTATTGTCGTAGCGTAATTTCACTCCTTATTTAAAAAATGAGGGAATTCAAATGTGTGAGAAATCCGTAACTTAATCCTTTGAGAATTATTCATGGGTTCATCAATTACTCAGACTAGTCTGATTTGAACTGATAGGCTGCAAAACTCTCTTAACCAAGTTTTAACATGAATGTGTTTTCTAGGTTCTAGAATTTGAGACCTGCTTTGCTTGGTGGTCGTAAGTGAATACTTCATAGGTTTGGGTTGACACTTGTAACCAAATCTATTTAATTGAACATCAATAGCATGCGAATTTACTATCTAAAGTGAATTGTATTTTTATAATTGTTTAAAATTTTTTGAGGAAAATGTGTTTCAATTTGATTGGACTTTTAGGATTGATTGTTGGCAGGTGGAGAGTTTGAGACAAATATTACGAGGTTTACACTTCCAATACGTTCTCTGGCGTTTAACAAATCAGGGAGCATGTTGGCGGCGGCTGGTGATGATGAGGGTATCAAGCTTATAAATACAGTTGATGGTTCCATTGCTAGGGTTCTCAAAGGGCATAAAGGTTCTGTTACTGGCTTAGCTTTTGACCCTAACGGTGAATACTTAGCGTCTCTGGATTCTACTGGAACTGTTATTTTTTGGGAACTACACTCTGGGAGAATCCTTCATAACCTCAAAGGCATCGCTCCTGACACTGGGGTTGATGTTTCAACCATGAATGTTCTTTGCTGGAGTCCCGATGGTGAGACCTTAGCTGTTCCTGGGTTGCGAAATGATGTGGTGATGTATGATAGGGACACGGCTGAGAAGTTGTTTTCTTTGAGAGGGGATCACATACAACCTATATGTTTCTTGTGTTGGTCACCCAATGGGAAATACATGGCTACTTCTGGTTTAGACAAGCAGGTTCTGATTTGGGATGTTGATAGGAAGCAGGACATTGATAGACAGAAGTTTGATGAAAGAGTGAGTAGCATGGCGTGGAAGCCAACTGGGAATGCCTTAGCTGTTGTTGATGTTATGGGAAAGTATGGTATCTGGGAGAATGTTATTCCTTCATCTATGAAGTCTCCAACTGAGGATATACCTATGCAATACAAGAATAGTAAAGGGGTTCTTTTGTTTGACGAGGAGGATCCGGAAAATAGTGCAAGTGGAAGCTTGAGTGATGTTGGTGAAAATAGTAATGGTGTGTCCGAGCCACCACCTAGCAGGAAAAGATTGCGTAAGCCGTCTTTGAGCGAGGAAAATTTAGATGATGATGGAGGTGATGAAATTGCTTTGTTTCCCAAGGTTGAATCCCACAAGAAACGGAATCACTTGCATAAGGAAAATTTGGATAATGGGAATGTGTTGGGATTTAGAAGCACGATGGTAACTTCTAGGCCAAAGATGCAGGAGGCATTTCAACCAGGATCTACTCCTGTGCAGTCTGGAAAAAGGCGCTTCTTATGCTACAATATGCTTGGAAGTATAACCACTGTTGAACATGATGGATTCTCTCATATTGAGGTAATACATGAGAACTAGGATAATTTGAGCAAGTTTCATCCCTAGGAGTTAGCACCATCTCCATGTGGATTTTGGTTAAATCGTTACTTCTGGCATATATTAATGAGTTGACATGTCTTTGTTACAGATTGATTTTCATGATACTGGAAGCAGTCCTCGAGTTCCATCTATGACTGATCATTTTGGATTTACAATGGCCTCATTAAATGAGGATGGGAGCGTCTTTGCAAATCCTTGCAAGGGGGAGAAGAACATGAGCACCCTCATGTATCGCCCATTTAGTAGCTGGGCTAATAATACCGAGGTCAGATTGTGTGCTTATCCCGTGTAGTTCGAGTCAATGCCTTTTTTATAGAAGAAAATTTTATTAAAAGAAGAAATGGAATTACTCCTTCGTTTACCATCATATGGTTATAAGGATATACAAATAGCGGTGTTTGTGGTTAACACTCTGCATGATATGAAATTTCACTGTCTGCTTACTTTGTTTAAAATTTTTGGCAGTGGTCTATGCGCTTTGAAGGAGAAGAAGTGAAGGTTGTTGCACTTGGAGCTGCTTGGGTGGCTGCGGCAACTAGTTTTAACTATCTTCGGATCTTTACTGAGGGTGGTTTGCAGGTTTGTCGCACATTTGTAGCTTATTTACATTTTTTTTTCCATTTTCAATAACTGAATATTGGAGGCATGATACTTCTCCAAATGTAAAAGAACTAAAAATGGTAGATAAGTGTGTACTTTCTGACCTTTCATTTAAAATATTATCTTATGTGTTAACACGTGTAACAAAGAGAATCTGTAGTTGTTGATATTTGATAGTAGTTGCACCCAGCATCTACACAGTTGTTAATCTATTTTATTGCAGAAACATGTTATTTCGCTAGATGGGCCAGTTGTGACTGCATCGGGTTTCAACGACAAGCTTGCGGTTGTGACTCATGCTTCTGATTGCCTTTCCTCAAATGATCAGGTTGGTTCCGTCTTCGTGGTAGCTGTTGCTTCTGAGATTGGCAGGCTAGTGTGGTTTTATTTAGTTTTAGTATATAGGATTGCGGATTACCACAAATATTTGAAGTTCTTCATTGTACTGTTGCTATTTAGTTTTTTATCTTTTTGAAGAGGTTATTGTAGAGGGAGAGCATAATCATCTGGTTATACGAACATCATAAATTTATGGTGATAGTATATTTCTTGTTAAACATGCAGGTGCTAGAGTTTAAAATATTTAATATACCTCATGGGACCCAACCACTTCGAGGTCGCTTGCCATTAAGTCCTGGGTCATCTCTAAGTTGGTTTGGGTTTAGTGAAGAAGGCCAATTGTGTTCGTACGATTCCAAGGTATTCATTGATTTTATATTTAGTGTTGATATTTGATATTTATTTCACTCGGCTTATGAATACATCTTGTTATTATAGTAAGCTGATCTAGTGAGTATAATATGTAGGGGGTGCTAAGATCATATACAAGCCAATTCGGTGGTAGCTGGCTCCCACTCTTCAGGTTCAATATTCGTTTAACCATGTGCACTGGTTTAATGTGCCTTATAATCTTATTCCTGACCTTTGATGATTTGTCTTATTCAAATTACAACGCAGTGCTATTAAAGAGAAGAAGTCAGATGAAAACTATTGGGTGGCTGGGTTGAATTCAAGCAAGTTATTTTGTGTGATATGCAAAAAGCCTGACGCCTTCCCACAGGTATATGACTAGGACAGTTAGATGCATTCCATTTTTCTCCTTTGTCCATGACTAAACTATTTGTATTCACTTCCTTTTCAGGTGATGCCTAAACCAGTTCTCACTCTATTGAATCTTTCATTTCCTCTCGCTTCCTCTGATTTGGGATCTGAAGCCCTTGAAAATGAGTTTATAATGAACAGCATGCGTCTCTTTGAGGTTTGTTCTTGTACCCTTTCAAATTTATTGGTCATTATTGTTGTACCTTCTAGCGAGCCTGTCATAAGTCTTGATTCATATTTATCTAATTCATCATGGGCACCCACGGTTTATTTTCTTATTGGTCGTGTTGGTTCTAATTTGAGTTTGAATTGTTTTTATCATTGCTGTTCAATAGCTGAGTTAGTAAATATTTAACATGCAGATTCAGAAAAAAATGGAAGAAATGGCTATTGCTGGTTTAGACACTAGTTCGCTTGATGATGATGCTTTCGATTTGGAAGCAGCACAAGATAGATGTATTCTTAGGCTTATAGCATCCTGCTGCAACAGTGAGTTCCTATGCTCTCTGTCTGTCTGTTTCTTCCCCCCCCCCTCTCTCTCTCTCTCTCCACTTTGTAAAACCTGAGTTGTAGAAGTGAAAAAAGTCAGTCCTGCCTCACACTAAACGAATATTTCAGGTGATAAGCTTGTGCGAGCTACTGAACTTGTGAAGCTTTTGTCACTGGACAAATCAATGAAAGGTGCAATAAAACTTGTTACTTCTTTGAAGCTTCCAAACTTGGCGGAAAGGTTCAGCAGCATATTGGAGGTAAGCCTCCTATATTAAAACAAAGAAGTGTACAGAGAGGATATAAACTCACTGTCATCTTTACCTTGTTAATTTTGTATGCTTAAAACAGGAAAGGCTACTTCAAGAAGTGAAAAAAACTACGGAAACCAACCTCAAAGAAAACTGTCTTGCACCCATTCCAGCTGATGCTTCAACATCAAAAGCAGTTGCTATGTCATCACCAAAATTATCTGCTCCGTTGTTCATAAAGAAAGACAGAACACAAGAGGGAGCTAAAGCTGGAGTAAATAAAACTGTAACGGTGAATGAAACTCCAAAGGCAAAGCAGAGAGTGGATGAAACAAGTGACAAGGGGGGGAAGCTGGGTGATATGCTTCAGGTGCAAGCTCCTCACACACATGATCCCTCTATAAAGTCGTCATTTAAGCAGGGAGCTAACAAGACAGAGGCTAGTTTTGCACATTCAAATAGGCCGTCCAATCCATTTTTGAAGTCTTCTATCAAGTGAGTAAATTTATCTACTCCAATGAAATGAAAAACACGATTGAGGTTTTAGGTAGTTCAGTTGAGATCATAAATCGAGATAAGATCTTTAACGTGGAAAAATTTATTATTCTATCACTGCATTATATATTTCCAGGAATACATACTCTAACTATCAAAGTTATTTTTTTTTTCTCTCTTCAAAAATTGTTGACGGGGAGAAAGAAAAAATAACTTTAATATTTTCACTATGTATTCTCAGAAATACATAATACAAATATGATCGTCATATTGAACACTCAATACAATAGTGGTACCAAAAATGCTCTCTTGCTTCTTTTTTCATGATGGATCAATTTTTAAAAGCAAAAAAGTCTAGAGAAAATTGAGAATCCTTTGTATATTGCAATAAAATCTTATTGTAATTCACCCCCCCACCCCCCTCCCCCCAAAAAAATGTAACTATTGTTTGAATTCAATATAAATTGTTATGACTCTTTGCATGCATGGCCCCGTTTTTTAATACAATCAAATACTTAATGTATTAACCAAGGTTTTAATACCTCATTAGGAGAAAAAATTATTTCTTATATATACATAAAAATATGTGAGATTCATATTTTTTTCTCTCTATTCTCTTTTCATGGCCTCATATGAGCTCCATATATTTTTATATGTATTTAGAAAATAATTTTATCTTTTACAACATAAAAAATATTAAACCCATTAACTAAATAGTAAATGCTCCCTCTAACCTTTACTGAACGGGAGAAGAGTCTTATTCAGAATCTCATTCGATTATATTTGATTAGTTTTCAATAGTTACTAAACTTTTGAGCATTGTGAAATAAGGGTTGTTCCTTATTCAAAAAATATTGAATGTTAATGCGTAAAATTATTTTACTATTGGTCCATCTTTACATCTAGGAGGTAATTTTTTTTCAATTATTGATTATATAGTGTTTTTATTTACAACCACGGGATCAAATTAAGTAAGATGGTTAAGATTAAAAGCAAGTGTAAAAAAATTAAAATTATTGTTAATCATGATTTCATTTTAATTAGGGATATTTTTGACATCTTAAATATAATTTAGAATTTTATTGATTGAGGATATTATCAATATTTTATATAATAATGACATTTTAGACATTTAAGAGGTTAAATGATGTATTCTATAATTACAATGAGTTTGAAGGATAAATTGAAACGATACTTAAGTGATAATTGTTGTAACAACAGTGGATGGAAATAAATTTTTCCCTTGTTATTAACAAGGAATGAAGTAGAAAGTGACTTAAGAGTGTTGAATTTTATCGAATCATAAGATATAGAAGTATAATAAAAAATAATTTAAAAGTATATAATATTATATAAATCCAAATTCAACAAAGAATTCAATCAGCAAAATACATAAGTAACAAAAGTTCAAATGAGTTATTCTCGTACTCATCAATCATCAAGATTAATATTATCACTCTTATTATCACTATCATTTTTTATCTTCGAAAACGTTTTCTTGGCTTTGTGTATTGAAGTGAAATAATTTTTTTGTGCAATACGGTGTATTGTATTTCGATTTCACTAGAAAGTTGCTAGATGGAATTTTTTTTTTACTTTCTATCTTACATGGAAGGAAGATATTATTATGTACACGATTTTATATCGCGTGAACAGTTATTAACATTCTTACTAAGTAATATGCCGGTATTTCCATTTCGTTACCAGTGACATAACTAAAAGTGTTTTTGCGAATTAATTTTTGAATTTAAATCAAAAATCAAATCTTTGTACTCTTTCTCTTATTAATAATGATTTTTCAGTTTCTTAATTTTTTTTAATTTGAATCACAAATTTTAGGATTGTTTTTTTGCTTTTACACATTTTTGCGAGCTTTATAGCGCGAGACTGCTCCTTTTTTTTTCCATCATTATCTTTAGGGTTTTAAAAGTTTTGTAATCTTCCACGGCAGCATATGGGACTTTTCTTTAGAAAAAGATGAGAAAGAGGAAGCTGAATTTAAAGCTAAAACCAAAGAGCAAGTAAATACCCCAGAAGATCTACCTCCCCAACTATTGTTTATTCACCAGGTAGGTCGAACTCCATATTTATCTGAATGGTAGAACTCCCTGATTAGTTGTGTTTATAAAAGCAAAAAAATCTAGAAAAAATCGAAAATCCCACACACACAAAAAAAAAATGTAACTACTGTGTGAATTCAATATAAATTGTTGTAACTCTTCTCGATTGGCATGCATGGCCCCGTTTTTTAATACAATCAAATACTTACGTATTAATCAAGGGCTTAATATCTCTAAGGTTATAGGAGATAAAATTATTTTACATATATATGAAAATGTATGGAGCTCATTTTTTCTCTTTTCTTTTTATATGACCTTATATGAAACTCACATACTTTTATGTATATGTAAAAAATAATTTTATCTCCTCCCCTCTCCATTTACAAAAAATAAAAATTTATTTTTTACAACATGAAAAATATCAAATCCGTTAACCAAATAGTAAATGTTTCCTCTGACCTTTTATTAACATTCAGAATCTCGTTAGATTAAACAAGCATTTATACCAAGAGTTTTGTAATTTTCAACATAAGTATCAAAATTTAAAAATATATAAACTGAAAAAATAAATAAAAAATATTTAAAATGAAATAGAGACATGTATAATTTGTTTAGATAAAATCTTAAAAAATTAAATTAAAAAATTTAAATTATGAAAAACATATGTATAATCTATTAAAGAATATTGAAATTTAAATTTAAAAGAAAAGTTAAGAATGATATATGCATTTTTAAAGGGAAATAGTTTAAGAGGTTAACAGAGTGTATTCTAATATAATATATAATACTGATTGCTTAGAATATAAAACTTGAGGAAATCAATATCTACAAAATTGTATTTATAAAATTTAATATTTAATTAAATAAAAAAATAGAAAATGGACAAATAAATAAGGAACTGATTACATGAATTAAGTAAATAAAAAAATTGTCTTATTTGTTATTAGGGAAAACTTCAATTTCACCCTGTGATGGACTTATATATGAGGTCCACTTATTATCAGGCCCAACAAGGGACAATTAGAATATAAATATGATATAATTAAATAAGGATATCCATCAAAGATATTAATCCTAATACGACAGTATTAAACATGGGCTTGGGTTGCTAGAAGAGGCACAAAAGGTCTAGAATCCTAATACCTACAGGTAAACTCTATAAATAAGAGGTAAAGTCTACATGTATGATTATTCTCTCTCTATTACTGTTATGTTGCCACTGTGCACACACACCACTCATTTGGCGAAAGTTGTATTTTATTTCTTGTGCATAGTTATCTGTTAAACTCAAGGGTATCTAATTCATAGATACCTTAGAGAAAGCACCTAGATCCAAAAGTAACTCACTAGCCTATTCGGCTAGACATCTCTGTCTTTAGGACAGAACATTGGCATCGTTTGTTGGGAATATTTAAATCGGTATTCCCATGATCACGATCAAGAATGGCAGTTCGTACAAGGAGTAGTGGTCAATTTCCGCCACATCTGAATCCAATGTTGAATCTTGTTGTGGAAGAGATAAATCAACCACAAAATCAGCTTGAGAATGAGATTGATTATGATGTTGTTCACATGAGTGAGGACGTCTCGGACACAACCTCTACACCGCTCCAGTAGATAATCCTCTAAACCAAATTATAGCTCCTCATCATCAGGCTATAGATGCGGCTGCCCATGTTGCGCTTGCTGCAGATCCAGACTGCACAGACCGCGTTTACTGTGATCTTAAGGCGGATGAAGGAGATGGAACACCGTAATTATCTTCAGCGAGAGGATGATATCAGGAGGTTTCAAGTAGGGGTGGCAATATGGGTTGAGCCCGGCGGGTCAACCCGCCAACCCGCCAAAACGGGACAGGTTGGGTTGAGATTTTCAACCCACCAACCCACCTCAACCTGCCCCGCCTAGAAGTGGGTCAAAACGGGTTCAACCCGCTGCGGGGCGGGTTGACCCGCCGGGTTTTAAATTTTTTTATTATTTTTTTATTTTTTACAATTAGGTAGTATTTCATTAGTACTTAAATTTTTGTGATATTCAATTTTTTTTTATTTTAGTACTTTCTAGAAAAAATAAAGAATAACAATTTTATTTGTGACAAATGTTATCTATTTATAAATTCCTAAAGAATGTTTGACAAATATTAGTATACATTTAAGATTGAGACTAAAAAAAATATAGAGAAGTGTGAAATAAAATAAAATAATATTAAAAAAATTCATAAAATAATTTATTTTTGAATTTTAATTAAATTTTTTTAATTGGCGGGTTGGTGGGTTGACCCGCCAACCCACCATAAAACGGGGTGGGTTCATTTTTACAACCCATACTTTTTGGCGGGTTGGTGGCGGGGCGGGGCGGGTCGGGACGGGTCAACCCAAATTGCCACCCCTAGTTTCAAGAGATGGAGCTACGTAATAATCTTCAGTGAGAGGAAGACGTCAGAAGATTACAAGAGATGGAGGGGCATCTGATGCAGATAAGAAATCTGGAACGTGTTGCAGACCAGATCAGGGATGGAGAGAACCGTATGGGAGAAACTCAAAGGGAGTTTCATCAATCCAGGAATGTTGGTGATCAGGTCAGGGTAATACGGATCATAACCTGTATACTCAAATTCAGGCTACAATTACTAAAGGACAAGGTGTGGCTAATACAGGTGGGATTTCAAATCCTAATAATCAGGTCCGAGTTGAGAACACTGGTGAAGGTCATAACCTGGACAATAATCACAATGTGAATGTGATAATTCCTACCCTGAATGTTGGATCAGGAAGGAATGTGGAGAGCAACCAGGGTGATATGCATCACAACCGGGATATCCAATTTCAATATAATCGGAATCATATTCAAGGTCGTGTTAAAGCTGGTGCATACAAGAGGAAATATAGTATGGGACAATGCAATAATAGTCCCTTCATTGGTGAAATTCTTAATGCTCTGTTCCCAGAGGAGTTTGATTCGGCACATTTGCCGAAATATAATGGAAGCCAAGATCCACAGGTCCATATAGAAGCTTTTGATACTGATATGTATATCAGAGGGATTGGTGAGCCCATTATTTCCCAGATATTTGCTACGACTCTGACTAGAGCTGCGCAGACATGGTTCTCAACTCTGCCTGCTAATTTAATTGGATCTTTCGAAGATTTAGGAGATAAGTTTTTACTAAATTTTGCTACGAGCAAGAAGCATCCGAAATCCGAGTTTGCACTTGGAAAAATTCGACAGCAGTCTGGGGAAACTCTCCAGAAATATTTGAACCGTTTTAAAGATACGACATTACAAGTTCCGGGTTTACAAGGAAATGTTCATGTGCATTTGATTGTGGCCGGCTTGGATGGTGCATCTTGGTTGGCAAAATCAATATATAAAGATCCAGTTAAAACACTAGAAGAATTCAGAGCTCGGTTAAATAAGTACTTGGAGCTTGAGCAAATGGAAATAGAAAATGCATCAGCAGAGGAAAATAGGAACCAATGTCCAAAAAGGAAAAGTCCAGCTCCAAAAGAAAGAGAACGACCAGGGAATAGGAAGAAAGACTTCTGAGGAAGAAACCTGGATGACAGATTCTGGGTAGGGAGGTATGAAAAGAATACTCCCCTAAATGTACCCCGGTCTCAAATATGGAGAGAAGTGACAATGACCGAAATGAAGAAAGTAGAGCGACATCGGCCTGTATTCAACAAAGGAGGCTTGGATTAGTCCAGGTTTTGCCCATTTCATAATAGACCTGGGCACACTACAAATCAGTGTTGGGACCTAAGAGACGATGTGGAGAAATTCATCAGAGATGGAAAGCTGCGTCAATACGTAATCAGGACTCAGGGATGGAAAAATAATAAGAGGAAATTGATATGAACCTCACCAAGAATAATGAGACCCAAGACCAATTTAGTTAGGACCGTTTCTAGAATCAGGAATTTAAAACAAGAAATAAAGAACCTTGACCCGTTATCTATGGAAGATAAGAACCAAAGGTATAAGAAGGATAAAGACGCCACACTCAAGAAAGAAGAAGATGAGTGATAGGTCTATTTTGAACGCCACAAGAATAAGCTTCTTGATAAGTTCAGAGTTCTAAATAAGAACCAAAGATAAAAAACCTCTCTATTATATTATAACTTCAAAATCTGATTACAAGAGTTGTATCCTCCCTTATTTGTACTTGGAACATTCCTCCAAGAATAGGAAAAGACTAACAAATAAAAAGTCACTAATTTAAAGTTTACAACTTGGAAAAAGGAAAGGATTCTAATCAGCTCACTAAACATTAATGACATCGAAAATGTGAATCAACCCCACTAAGCATTAATAACATTGAAAATGCTATCAGCCCCACTAAGCATTAATTAACATTGAAAGTTGTTACTCATTTCACTCAACCTCCCTTGCATTGATGGCATTAACTAAATTCTGATTATGAATAAATTTGGACTTGATGTGTTCATGATTAGCCCACATTTACTGTATCAACCCACTAAGAGCTTCTTTAAATAAGTCCCTATGGTAGTCACTTGGAATAAATCGCCTTCTCATGATAGCTTTCATTTCCTCCCATGTTTTAATGAGACTTTCACCATGTCTCTTCCTGTTTGACACAAATTGATCCCACCAAACAATAGCATAATCAGAAAATTCTATGGCAGCATATTTTACCTTTTTCAATTGCGAGTAGTTATGACAATCAAACACCAACTCCATCTTTCTTTCCCACTCCAAGTAAGCTTCTGGATCATTTTTGCTTTGGAAAGATGGGATCTTCATCTTGATACTTCCTAGGTTATTATCAACCTTTTCTTCATTACGCACTCTTCTTCCTTCATTTCGACGCTCATTCTGCCTCATATCAACCGTAGAATTGGTTTCATCTTCATTTTGATGTTCTAAAGTTCTGCGTTGTTGCTCCCTTTGTTCAACTCTTTCTATTCTATCTTGCATTTCAACGAACTTGAAGTTCAATCTTTCAAATCTCTCTGTCATGGCTTCAAAGTAGAATTTGAAATTTGTAGGAATTTGAGCATTACCCTCTTGAGACATTTTTTTAATCTGATTTAGAAGACTAGCTCGGATACCAAATGATATGAACCTCACCAAGAATAATGAGACCCAAGACCAATTTAGTTAGGACCATTTCTACAATCAGAAATTTAAAACAAGAAATAAAGAACCTTGACCTGTTATCTATGGAAGATAAGAACCAAAGGTATAAGAAGGATAAAGACGCCACACTCAAGAAAGAAGAAGGTAAGTGATAAGTCTGTGTTGAACGCCACAAGAATAAGCTTCTTGATAAGTTCAGAGTTCTAGATAAGAACCAAACAGAAGAAACCTCTCTATTATATTATAACTTCAAAATCTGATTACAAGAGTTGTATCCTCCCTTATTTATACTTGGAACATCCCTCCAAGAATAGGAAAAGACTAACAAATAAGAAGACACTAATTTAAAGTCGACAACTTGGAAAAAGGAAAAGACTCTAATCAGCCCACTAAACATTAATGACATTGGAAATGTGAATCAACCTCGCTAAGCATTAATAACATTGAAAATGCTATCAGCCCCACTAAGCATTAATTGACTTTGAAAATTTCTACTCATTCCACTTAACCTCCCTTGCATTGATGGCATTAACTAAATTCTGATTATGAATAAATTTGGACTTGATGTCTTCATGATTAGCCCACATTTGCTGGATCAACCCACTAAGAGCTTCTTTAAACTTCTTGGCCCTTGATCTTGTGATTGGCTCATTTGGCAATTGCAATGGATCACTAGGTGTTGTCTCCTTATTCATATCAGAAATTCAGTGGCCGAAGTAAAAGCAAGAGCCTGGTTCCCGAAAAGAAAAAGAAAGAAGATATAGGAAAGAAGGAATATTTCAATAATGATGAATTCCCAAAAGCCGAGTTTGACTGTAATGTAATCAGCGAGCTTTTGGTGGAGGTGGAGATACTGTAAACACAAGAAGAAAATATCTCAATAAGGTGCTTTCGGTTAGCGATCGACCAAAATGTAAGGAAGATTCCAGCAAACCAGATGCTCCTTTATTGTATTTCACCAAAGAAGATTTGAAAGATGTAGTACCAGGACATGAAGATGGCTTGGTCATTACGGGAACTTTGGTGAATTGCCGAGTTAAGAAGATTTTTGCAGATGCTGACAACTGTGCTGATATTATCCTTTGGGATGCTTTCAAGAAGATGAACCTGGATAAAGAAGTTCTCAAGCCATGTAAGGCTACTCTGATAACCTTTATTGGGGAAAATACACCCCATAAAGGATATATAGATTTCAGGTTAAGTCTAGGAACGAAAGAGGCGTTTTAGTCAGAATGAGTAAGATTCATTGTAGCAGATTTTTCCTCTCTATACAATGTAATCTTGGGAAGACCAACTCTTCATAAATGAGATATGCTAGTTTCTACTAAGCATCAAAAGTTGAAGATGGTGAGCAATAAGAATGAGGTCATCACTATCCAGGGGGATCAAAAGGAGTCACAACAATGTTATTTTGAAGCTGTTAAAGAAAATGAATGAGGACATTTAACTTCACCTCAGATTCATCCAGAGATAAAGCTGGGAAGCAGATGACCTCTCAGCATCCAAGCAAACCACGTAACATGATTGAATTGGATATGAGAGAAGAAGCTATCATTCCTGGACCCGAGCCGGATGGTGAGTGGGAAGATCTTATCCTAGGAGATATGCCTAAACAACTTACCAAAATTGGTAAAACTATGAACCCGGAGGTAAAAGCTGGGTTAATAAAATTTTTGAAGAAGAACAAAGACGTTTTTACGTGAAAGTCATCTAAGATTCTCGAGATTGATCCCAAATTCTGTTGTCATAAGCTGGCAATGTATCCCAGGTCAACCCCGGTTGCACAGAAGAAAATGAAGCTTGGACATGAAAGAAGACAGGTTTTAGAAGAACATGTGAAAGAACTTCTAGATGCCGGGTTCATAAGAGAGATTCAATATATTACATGGCTTGCCAATGTGGTTATGGTTAAGAAACCTAGTGGGAAATGGAGGGTATGTGCGGAATACACTGATCTCAATAAAGTGTATCCTAAAAATTCATACCCAATGCCCAACATAGACCAAGTCGTGGATAACTCAGACGGGTTTCGATTGTTATCCTTTATGGATGCTTATTCCGGCTATAACAAAATACCTATGTATCCAAAAGACCAAGAGAAGACGACCTTTATTGCTAAAAAGGCCAATTACTATTATAATGTAATGCCTTTTGGGTTAAAAAATTCAGGGCTGCATATCACAGAATGATGAACCGAGTATTTGAAGATCAACTCTGCAAGAATGTGGAAGTCTATATAGATGATATGATTGTCAAATCAACAAATCTTTCAAGCCATGTTCAAGATTTAAATCAAACATTTGAGAAGCTTAGAGTCACATTCGATTAAATCCGATTAAATGTGCATTTGGAGTCTCGGCTGACAAATTTCTGGGTTGTATGTTAACTTACAAGGGGATTGAAGTGAACCCGGATAAGTGCAAAGTTGTGCTAGACATGAAGGCCCACAGAAGCAATAAGGAAGTTCATCAATTAACGGGTAGATTGGCCGCTTTAACTAGATTCTTGCCAAGGTCAGCTGAAATCGCACTCTCATTCTTCAAGATGTTAAAGAAATAAGCTGAACATGGATGGAACTCGGATTGTGAGTTCGCGATTGAAAAATCAAGAAATGTCTAGCAGCACCACCAGTTCTATCAAAACTGGAAGCAAGAGAGATACTAATATTATATTTAGCTATTGGGAAAGAAACAATAAGTATTGTGTTAGTAAGAGGGACAGATAAAGGCCAAGAGCCAATATACTTTGTTAGTAGGGCTCTTCAAGGCCCTGAATTGAGATACCAAAAGTTAGAGAAGGTGACATTTGCCTTACTCACTACTGCAAGAAGATTACGACCATACTTTCAAGGACATCAAATAGTAGTCAGAACTAACCAGCCAATACGGCAAATGTTGCATAAGTCGAATTTGGCTGGAAGGATGACTAACTGGGCAATAGAGCTATCTGAATATGATATAATCTATGAAACTCAGCATGTCATTAAATCTCAAGCACTAGCCGACTTCATAATGGAGCTCACTCCATCGGATGGACGAAGCACTAAGAAGGACGACATATGGAAGGTTTATGTAGATGGTTCATCAAATAATAAAGGGTGTGGAGTTGGAATCATAGTTAAAAGTCTAGAAGGGGTTTCAATAGAACACTCCCTACATCTGAATTTTCCAACTTCAAATAATCAAGTAGAATATGAAGCCATGATAGTTGGTCTGATGCAGGAAAAAGAGCATGGGGCAAAAAGAGATAAAGTCTTTAGTGACTCCTAGCTTGTCACTAGTTGATGAAAAATATCAAGTCAAGGGTCCTCTGCTGATGAAATATTTAAATAGAGTGAAAGAAATTATATCTGAGTTTGATGAAGTTATGATCACTCTCATTTCTTGAGGAGAGAACAACAGAGTTGATATCCTGTCCAAATTGGCAAGTATAAAGAACCCGGATAATCACAGAACCGTGGTTCGACAAAGAATAGTGAAGCCGATTTGCGTAATGGTCATTACGTCATCAAAAGATTGGAGGCAGCCAATTGTTGCTTATTTGGAAAGAGGAATATTGCCAGAGGATTCAGTGGAGTCCAAGAAATTAATCTGAGATGCAGCATTATATAAGTGGTGGAGGATCAACTATATAGGAAAGGTTTGTATTCTCCAATACTAAAGTGCTTGAACTCGGAAAAAGCCGAGTACGTCTTAACAGAGATACATAAAGGAATTAATGATCAACAAATGGGAGACAAATCCCTAACTCGAAAAGCTCTCCGGGCAGGGTATTATTGGCCCACCATGGAAGCTGATGCGAAAGATCATGTGAAGAAATGTAGCAGCTATCAGAAACATGCCAGGATGATACTTTCTCCTCCAGAAGAATTGACATATATCTCGGCTCCATGGACCTTCTATAAATGAGTAATGGATTTGCTAGGACCATATAAGGCGGCTGAAGGGCAGCTAAAATAGTTGGTTGTAGTTGTTGATTATTTCACGAAATGGATAGAAGCTGAATCCATCACTATTATTATCTCGGCTAAAGTTCAAAGATTTTTTGAAAGAAATATTATTTCCAAATTTGGAATTCCAACTGAGATAGTGACAGATAATGGAACTTAGTTTACTGACAAGTGGTTCTAAGAATTGATGGTTGATTTAAGATTCAGCATCCCTTTGCATTTGTGGAACATTCCTAATCAAATGGCCAAGCTGAAGCTGCTAATAAAGTGATTGTGGATGGACTCCGAAAACGGATGGAAGATGCTAGGGACAACTGGGTTCAACAACTATATTTTATTTTATGGGGATACAGAACAAGCATCCAAACAGCAACTGGAGAAACTCCATTCAGACTTACTTATGGATGCGAGGCTATGATCCCGGTTGAGATAGGAGAGTTATCTTGGAGGAGAATGAAGACTCTTAAAGAGAAAGAAGAAGAGAATAGTAAAGCCCTGACAGTAGAGTTAGACCTGATAGATGAAATCAGACGGCACATTGCCGAGATGTGGCAACCAAACAATTGGTAGTAGCCAGATATAATAGAATAGCAGATATTGGTAACAAGAATGCTAAAGATGGAAAGCTGCTGCAAACTGAGAAGGCCCTTACCAGGTAAGAGAGAAACTCAGTAAAGGAGCTTACATCTTAAAAATATTAGAAGAAAAGCCTATGAAGAGAACATAGAACACGGATAAATTAAAGATGTATTATAGTTAAGATCCGAGTTCCATGGAAATGCTATTTTGAATATTTTTTCAATTTCTAGGCGATTTATTTTTGCGTTTGTAGAGATTGTTTAAAGTCGACTATATCAACAAATTCATGTAATCAATATTTTCAATTTGAATAAATGAGAAAATTTTCATTGAAATTTATCCTTATAATTATGATGCATCAATATACAGATCCAAGATAAAGATGTGATTTGTCATAATGACTCTGATC